TAGGGGTGGGCAAAATGAACTGAACTGAACTGAACTTATAAAAACTATACTAAACTTAAAAATAGTTCTCATGAACTGAACTAAACTAAATATTAGTTCAGACGAACTGAACTGAACTGTTTTTTATTCTATTAAACTGTACTGTACTGAACTATACTGAACTATAATATAAACTAAATTGAACTGCTCTACACCTTAATCTGTTTTTGAACTGCACTATTTTTAAACTGAACTATTCATGAACTGCTTCTAAACTGTGCCTAAACTATGCCTAAACTGTGCCACCAGTCTTGGTTCTGGACAGCCTTGCGGAACAGCCCCATCGAAAGCTCTTAGTGAGTTTACAATCAAACCTAAGAGCTTCTCAGACTGTTCTGGCCACTTGGTCTGAAGTTGCAAATTCACACAATCAAAACTATAGATACATATGTGCAAAAAAAATCAGCTCTTATGAATATAAATTTGTATAAATTTGTACAAATCAGCTCTTATGAAGTAGTGGCAGATGTCTCTGGCGGACAAATAGGCTGTCCAGGAAGAGCTTTTCCCTGAATACCTTTCCCATTTAAATCAGAGCTCTGCACAGCAGATGTATTACTGCTTTCTTCAACAACAGAATCCAATCTCTCATTAACAGGAACTTGTGCAGTGTCCATTGTTCCATTTTATCTTTGATTCTATTAATAATAACGACTATTTTTTTTTTCATGCACTACAAATAAGAGTAATGGTGTTGCAAATGATGCTTTTATTCTTTAATCATAAAATGTTTCCTAAAATATTAATTAAAAATATATTATATTTAAAATTTAATACTTATATTTTATATATTTATTCAATAAATATTAATTTTTAAAATGGATTCTCTGAGTTTACTCTTCTAGCTCTGTCCTTGGAGAAAGAGTAGTATAGAGTATAGACACATTCTTTATTTATACTTCACATTTAGACACACCGAAGCCACTTCTTTTTCCTCCAATCATTGTTTCCTCACCGAATCATTTAGAAACCTGCAGTCCAACATGAATTATAGATTAACCATTTTTTTCCACTTAAGACATCTTTTTCTTCCTCTATTAATTACATGAATCACGGTCCAATTATTAATTAGAAATAAGATTATGAAGACGTGGACGCAACCCGCACAAGAAAGATCTAGTGATATACATTGAAGAAAAAATATGTTATATTTTTATTTTCGATT